GTTGGCTTGGAATGCAGTTTTCATCTTGAAACTATAATTAAAAATGGACAGCTAAGGAAATATTAATTTTCTTTAATTTCTTTTTTGGAATTGCTTAAGAATTTTTGACATTTGATTATTTTTATGTTTCAAATTTAACTTAATTTATTTGACTATGAAGCATAGTAAAAATTCATGGTTTTAAGAGCAATTTTTGGCTCTAAAAATGTAAATTATTTTTGAAATATTTAATAATAGAAAATAGTTTGTTCTAATAGCAAATAAAATACTTTTAAATGTTTTCTGTACATTTTGACAATCTCTAGCTTCAAGCGCTCTCATTGTTGACAATAAAAGTTCGAATTAAATACTTGGCTGCTCATGGTATACTATATATAGTACTATATATGATTCCGTTCCAAAACCTTTCTGGCTGTTAGTCCTGGCTTGAAATCCATTTGAGTGATTAGCGAAGGTAGATGATGGCTGGTTTATCTTTTCACATTTTATATTTAAGAGAATGAGATTAAGGTGGATTCTCAAAACTGTTCCTAATACGCTGCTAACATAAAATTAAATTAAATTTCGGTCTGGGTTTCATTTATATTAACGAAATTAACGTACAAAATAAAATGTATCTAACAAAGTAGGCTAATCAAAGCACTTTTAATTTTATTATCTAAGGAAATTAATTTTTTGGGACTAGTGCATTAATTTATAAGAATCTTTCTTGTCGCACTAGGAACTAATAATAAATAAATAAATATTATAAAGAAAATTATTTGAGAACGTTTAAAATAAGGTAGCAGGAATGCTTAAGATATTGTCATGGCTATTTAGTTTATGATCTTATAATTTCTCATTAACAATACACTTAGATAATAAAACGAGATTTGTACAGATTCGAACGCATTTTGTCAATTAGAAACCAAAAAAGCATTACTTGACTATAAACGTGAATTTCTTGTGAAATTTTATTTTCGCCATAAACCACACACGCATGTACAAGTAGTATATGTACTTAAGAAACACACCCAAAATATGTGTGTACGTCAAAGATATATGCTATATACTTGTATTTGTTGTATTAAGGAGGCCTCTAAAAGTATAAAGAAAACACAACACAAATGAGCAAATAAGCGCAAATCCAAACAATATGTGACGCGCCCCAGCTCAGTGAAAAGCAGCAAAACAAATTTTTATTGTTTTTACGCGTTGGGCTTGTCTAATAAAATTAAATTTTATTTGCCGCAAAATACGGCGAAAAAATTTGTTGAGCTACAAATTGCCTGCAAACATGTACATACATATATATATATATATACATATATACCTAAATATACCTACATATCTTCTTGCCCCTGGCCCCGAAAAACGCTGTTGACTTTGTAATTTATTTAAATTTATATTTGTTTGGTTGCTGCTCGAGCTGCTGACCATTTATATTTATAGAGGCGTATTCTCGAATTTTTGTTTTTACATTCTGGTTCGTTGTTGTATCTGTTCGTTATGCTTTTGTTTTAGCTTGTGTTGAGTTAGTTGCCAAAACATGAAAAACACACCCAACCAGCACTAAATAAATAAATAAATTAAGGAATCGCATGAGCAAAATCAGTTCCTCAAACACATTCCGCACATTTTCATTCTGTCACATTCGCATGCCACACTTGACATCTGTTGTCTTTGTTGGGTTGCGTGGGCGACTTGGCAGCTAAATGAGCTGTTTAAAATAGCAAATCACTTGGGTTAATTAAGGCTACTACACTCGACTCTGGCCAAAACTAAAATAGAATTGCAGAAACGTCAAAGAAACAGCCAAGGGAGGAAATGAAGCCAAAAAACAAATTACAAATCACAACCAAAGCAGATGAGATGGGGCCACAGTTGGTGGCAAAACCGTTTATAAAGCAAACACTGTCACAACTTTGCTTGCTGAACAAACAGACCGACAAACCACTTCTTGCCCCAAGTGGGTGGCAGCTGGCAACTTCAACTTAACAAAACTTGTGCTGTCAACTCATGGCCCGAGCATTTATCACTGCCAATAGCGTTTCCTCAGCCCGTGTGGTGGTAGGAAGCTCCGGTGCGTGTTTTCAGAAACATTCAGACAAATTTCACAAAACCACCCTGATAGTCAAACATGCATATTCCCAAATACAAATATCATGTCTAATAAATAAAGAAAATAACTTATTTCATACTTTAAACAATTTTCCTACTGCAAATGCAAGAATTCCCATGTTAAAGGTATAAACACAGTTGTGGATAGAGGAGGAATTTCATTTTCCAATACGGAACTGAAGGATGTAAAATGTGGCGTTTTTTAAAATTAATTTGAAAGTGTTAAAAATAGTGAAAGATCCCTAAAAAACAAAAAACACAAAAAAAACCTTATAAATGTACTAAAAAATTTAAGATATAATTTCATTTTCATAATTTTATTTCCCAATACTGTTTCATTTTTATACCCTGTACCCAAAAGGGTACAAGGGTATATTAGTTTTGTGCGAGTGCACATGGAACACACAGAAGGAGGCTTGGTAGACCCCACAAAGTATATATATTCTTGATCAGCATGACAAGCCGAGTCGATATAGCCATGTCCGTCTGTCCGTCTGTCTGTCCGTCTGTCCGTCTGTCTGTCTGTATGAACGCAAGGATCTCCGAAAGTATAAGAGCTAGAATAACCAAACTTGGTATACAGATTCTCCTGAGACCGAGAAAGGACGAGTTTGTTCATTTTTTCTGATCCACCCCCCCACTCCCCCCCTATTAACGATTTTCTATAACTTCCGTAATTCTTGGAATTTTGAACTAAAATTTGGCAGTCACATTAGGTTAGTTATTATATAACCGTATACCAAGTCTCATTATGATAGAATGATCGGAAAGAAAGTTATAGCCATATAACCAGGCCCAATGCACACATACATACATATGTACAAGTACACAAACACGCATAAGGCACGATTCTGATGTAAATGTAAATGTATGTATGCATGCATGGAATATTTTATATTTAATTTAGTTAATTAATTAAATTAATTTAGTTAATTAATTAAATTTAATTAATTAATTAATTTAATTACTTTTTTGTGGGGTGGTACAGGGTATTTAAGAGTTGAGCCTGCTCGACTTTAGCATTCCTTTCTTGTTTAACCTCAACTGAAGGATGTTAGAAGTGACGTTTTTTTAAATTAATTTGAAAGTGTTAAAAATAGTGAAAGAATTTAAGATATTACATAGTATAACATAAAATGATTAAAAGAGTAAGATATGATTAGGGATTGTTTAGAACATGATCATAAAATAGCCCTAATGAAAATGTGATCGGAAAGGGTTTATTTAAGGAAAAGGTAGATCTACAAATTGCCGATCGAAGGGTATGGAATTTACGAATAAATCTCAAGGAAACTGCCAAGAGCTACGATACCAAGAAAAAGAGGGAAATCTGTATCACCTACAGTGATGTATTGATAGTTAGTGATGTAAATCTGAAATGAACATCGATGTTTTACATCGGAAACGCAAAATCGCCATTATGAACATCGATGCAGCGAGGTATCGAAAAACTTAACAACGATATATCGATTTTTCATAAAAATTTTTTATATACTTGTAAAAAGATGAAAGCTATCGACGAGCGGGATCAACTCTCCTGCGCATATTATATGCGAACGAAACTATTATGCCCTTTGGTTACGGGATGTAAAGATAAGCTAGGAGCGTATTTTTGCATCAATTTAAAAATTTTTAATTCAAAAATATGTGCTATAAAATTAAGTTTAATATTTAACATGCAGGCTCGACAGTTATTAAATTTCACGATAACTTTGAAATTTCAATCAGTCTTCAGCCTTGATGGTTGCGGCGGCATTCGAACCAAAACCTCACTCAGGAACAACAACTGTGGGACTCCTGCTTGCTCGTTAGGGATATGCTAGGCCACGAATTCAGGATTGAAATGGGAATTATAGCTTGCTTTGGCATGGTTTCTTAGCAGTTCTTTATCATTTTGATACCAGCCGTATCATAGTTATATTTCTTTGTTATATTTCATAGTTATATTTCTTTGCTGGGATTTCCCTGGTTTCGATATTTTTATAAAAATCGATCGAAACATCGAAACAAATAACATCGAGTTAAAATCGAAATCAGTCCCTTACGTAAAAATCGATACATCGATATATCGATGCATATTTGCATCACTAGTGATGTTAGATCTATTAAGATTCAATTAACATTTGTTGTTCATGGTATTGTGGTCTCCATACATCAGAGCAATATTTTAAGATACTGTCCAAATTTTACATCTTCAAGAACTTTGCTCTGCATACGTAATTAATTCCCTACTTCTAGTTAAAATTTTGTCCAATTCGGTGAATTCTAAGAAAAGTTTTTAGCGAAACTATATCACTTCAGTATTACACCCATAAACAGCAGAAGTGGGTGCGGTTGTATTTTTTGTTTGCTTTCAAGTTGGTTCTATTGTCTGAACCGCCCTTTTAACGTTTGTTTGTACTAGTTTACAAAAAGGGTAACACACACACAGATGAAAAGGGGGGCTTTTCAACACACGCCCACTGACTAACTAGCCTGACATGACACACTACTGACCTTTTATTGACATTTTGGGCCGTTTCTCGTTTTTGCTCGCTTACACATACATGTCCAAGCTCGTTTGCGGCCTATTTGAAAATAGTTTCACGAACAGGTGAAAATGGCGAACGAAGCAGGGAAAAGGAAAAAAGAAAATATGGTAAACACATTTAGACACATTTTGAACTCGTTAGGGAAAAAGCAATTCGCAATTCATGAGAAGCGTAAAATAGACTGGCAAGTCACTCTCACTCTCCCCTGGGTTGCATAAGCTTAGGTTTGGATGGTCAGGCGCTAAATTGGCTAAATTGTAGTCGGCTAAACTGATTTGCATACTCAATTGGAATTTAGTCTTTACATCTGGCAGCGTGTGAATCTATAAAAAGGCGACAGACATCGCACAGGTCTCAGTACAGTCCCGTCTCGTCGTCCCCACATCGTCGGCGCAATGTCGCGCACCCTGGAAACTTTTCTGCTGCTCCTAACGGTTTGTCGGCGTGAAAGTGTCGCTATACAGTTAGTAATCTCTTTTTTCGACTGCAGCTGGTGCAGGGCTTTCGTGCGCCCAGCGGCCCATGTAGCTTTGCAAATCTGAAGATGCGCCACGAGATGATTGAGTTCACCGGACAGACAGTGCTTAAGGTTTCCCAAGCGATGCTCTTGGCTGCCTCCAAGACCTTCGCTATGGTCATCGATGACCTCAGCTACATGGCCGTGGAGAATGCGGCGCTTCGCTTGCGTCTCCAGCTGCTCGGCAGCCACATAACTGCCATTGAGCGTTCGCAGGTGTTGGATCTTCAGGAGATCACTTCAGAGTACGATCTAAGCATAATTGCGCACATCTACGATCGCTCTGTGCCATTGCTCGGCGATCCGGAGGCAGGAGTGCTTCCCAAATTGTCCCGGCTATGCGATAATGTGATCTATACGATGGGCATGTATCGAATGCATCTGCCACCGCATACCAGACCCATGCGGGAACTCAAGTCCAATCGGTCTGCACTCGAACATGAACTGATCTCGCAATCGTTAAACAAATTTGGAATGCAGTTAATGCAATTCGTTATGGCTGTGCATTTTGCCAAGTTCTTCGAGGAGTTCGATGCAAACGCCACAAATCCCCATTTCCTCCAGCCTCCCAGCGAGATGCGCTGCAGTTGCGATCGCGAATTCCTGTTGTTTTACAAATCCATTAAAGCAACGATCGGAGATGATAGTAAATTAGAAAAGGTGTTACCACTGAGCCAATTCCTGCTAAATAGCGCGAAAAAAGGTGATGAGCAACGGCTTCGGAAGGCAAAGACGTAACTACTAAGTTTATATTTCAGGAGAAAATGCAAGAATATTAATCGAAAATGTGGAATGAAATCATTTTCTGGGGTGCTTGAAACCATTACAATATAAATTAATGGATGTGATTTTTCTTTGAATTTATTTTCAAATGCATTTCACAATTTTTATTGTAAGTAAAGCTTTGTAGATATTTTTTTAAATAATGTCTGACTTTGGACCCAAAAGTAAATAGAATTTATGTTTAGTTATCAAAAGTAATATTGATAATCTTGACATAATGCCAAATGATATGCTATCTATCTCATTTCTTATTTCATATTCTGCCTATCATTGTATCGGTTCAAGAATATATTGTCTCAAATTTCATTTAGGCAATCTTAGGAAAGAACTTATTGTACTTGTTCTAAAATTTTCCAAATTTTTTTTTTTTTAATGTTACTGTTATATTTATAACTTAAATTAAACTTATAGTTAAATACAAATATGACTTAAATTAAACTTATAGTTAAATACAAATATGACTTAAACTAGGTTTTCAGTCTTAATTACAAGTTGAGAAGTGAAATTAATACTTGAACACTTTTCAAACAGAACTTTTAAGAATTCTAAGCATACTTGTACATACGAGTATGGATGACCATTCCAATTAAATAACTACATAGTTCTGTTAATAGTGTCTTAAATTGAATTTGAATGATCTTTGTCGTTATAATTTCATTCCTTCAACTTTATTTCATATGTATGACCATTCCAATTAAATAACTATATAGTTCTGTTAATAGTGTCTTAAATTGAATTTGAATTCTTCCAAGGGCTCTTCATCCGCATCATCTTTGTCGTTATAATTTCATTCCTTCAACTTTATTTCATATGTATGACCATTCCAATTAAATAACTATATAGTTCTGTTAATAGTGTCTTAAATTGAATTTGAATTCTTCCAAGGGCTCTTCATCCGCATCATCTTTGTCGTTATAATTTCATTCCTTCAAGTTTATTTCATTTGTATGACCATTCCAATTAAATAAGATCATATATAGTTCTGTTAATAGTGTCTTAAATTGAATTTGAATTCTTCCAAGGGCTCTTCATCCGCATCATCTTTGTCGTTATAATTTCATTCCTTCAACTTTATTTCATATGTATGACCATTCCAATTAAATAACTATATAGTTGTGTTAATAGTGTCTTAAATTGAATTTGAATTCTTCCAAGGGCTCTTCATCCGCATCATCTTTGTCGTTATAATTTCATTCCTTCAACTTTATTTCATATGTATGACCATTCCAATTAAATAACTATATAGTTCTGTTAATAGTGTCTTAAATTGAATTTGAATTCTTCCAAGGGCTCTTCATCCGCATCATCTTTGTCGTTATAATTTCATTCCTTCAAGTTTATTTCATTTGTATGACCATTCCAATTAAATAAGATCATATATAGTTCTGTTAATAGTGTCTTAAATTGAATTTGAATTCTTCCAAGGGCTCTTCATCCGCATCATCTTTGTCGTTATAATTTCATTCCTTCAACTTTATTTCATTTGTATGACCATTCCAATTAAATAAGATCATATGTATATATATCTGTTAATAGTGTCTTAAATTGAATTTGAATGATCTTTGTCGTTATAATTTCATTCCTTCAACTTTATTTCATATGTATGACCATTCCAATTAAATAACTATATAGTTCTATTAATAGTGTCTTAAATTGAATTTGAATTCTTCCAAGGGCTCTTCATCCGCATCATCTTTGTCGTTATAATTTCATTCCTTCAACTTTATTTCATATGTGTGACCATTCCAATTAAATAACTATATAGTTCTGTTAATAGTGTCTTAAATTGAATTTGAATTCTTCCAAGGGCTCTTCATCCGCATCATCTTTGTCGTTATAATTTCATTCCTTCAACTTTATTTCATTTGTATGACCATTCCAATTAAATAAGATCATATGTATATATCTGTTAATAGTGTCTTAAATTGAATTTGAATGATCTTTGTCGTTATAATTTCATTCCTTCAACTTTATTTCATATGTATGAACATTCCAATTAAATAACTATATAGTTCTGTTAATAGTGTCTTAAATTGAATTAGAATTCTCCCAAGGGCTCTTCATCCGCATCATCTTTGTCGTTATAATTTCATTCCTTCAAGTTTATTTTATAATTTTGCAGCAATTACAAAAATTGTCCCCCCATATCAACGTTGTCGCTCATAGACGTCCTTCCCTCCCACTTCGCCTTCCCCTTCCCCTCCACCACAAAGTGGCAATAAAGTTGCAAAGGAAATGAAAATGCAAGCAAGCAAAACTTTTAAGTAGAAAACATGAAAAAGAAATGTACATTGCTCGGCTGAATTTCCTCCTTCAGAGCATTTTATGCGGTGCGCTCTCCTCTGCGCTTCGGAATTTCTTCTGCTACTTCTTTTTTGTGTTTTTATTTTTTTGTATTTTTTTGTACACAAAACTTTTCCCTCGAGTTCACTTAACTACTTCCTTCTGCTTGGCAACACAAACTGAAGCACACTTCAATTCAATTTCAAATGCCAACTTGTACTTCAACAGTTTGCCATGACAGACAAACACTTGGATTGAGGAGGAGCGGAGTGAGGAGTGGCGCGATGGTGGGCCGGGGGTCCGTACGATAGGTATGGGTATAAGCCTTTCTACCAACATCGCCGCCCACGCCGGAATTCGCCAGAGGCGGGCAGTCGTCGACGGCAATGCGACAGCCAAATCACTAAAAACTACTCGAAGGCAGGTCGAGCTGAAGAGTTTTTCGGTGCAGAAGTTCTTGCCAAGTGACAGCAACGGTTGCCAACTTGCATATAGCCTTGCCTATATAGTACACATACTATACATATGTAGTAGCAGTATGTACAAGTGTATATAGGTATGTGTGGGTGGGTATGTGTGAGTATTTATTTGCCAGCTAGCTCGGCATTTGGTGCGGAGCGGTGGAACTTAAGCCAACAGCTGCTGAGTAGAAAAGTTGGCGCTTAAGCCCTTTTAGTAACTGCTGCTTTGGGGGGAGGGGAGGCGGGGGTGTGAGGAGGACGCTGTGCACTTCACTTCTGGCGCAGCGTCGTTTTGCCTTTTTGCACGAAGTTGTTGTTGTTGCCGCTGCTGTTTGAATTTGAAAGTTATCCAAATGTTGGCACAGACCAAGAGCGCGCGAAATGGGAGCAGCAACATCAGCAGCTTGACGTGGGCATTGTGTGCAACACTGTTTACTGTCTGCTACAATGCCTAGCAGCTCACTTGATAAAGCTAGTAGTAGTAACAACAACAATAATAGCAACAATAAAAGCAACGACGCCCACGCGACACAAAAGACTTTTCATTTGCACTACGCCTGCCAAGTTGCTGCTGTTTAATTTGATTTCCACAAGTTGGCAGGCAGGCAGGCAGGCCGACGACGTTCTGCTGCCCCTTACCTACATCTCATTTGCATATGCCCCTATTATATTTATGTATATCCTCGTATATATGTATACTCGTACTCGTGTGTATAGGAACGCGGCGCAGTTTTGAGCCAAACTTTTGTGGGCGTCAACTAATTTAGACAGACATAGAAAAGTAAAAGGCGCAGCCATCAAATATGTTGCTGGCACCAGCAACAACATTTGTGGCAACAGGACCAGCAGCAGCAGCCAGACTTCATCATTGTGAAAGTTTTGAAACTTTACGTAGGTAGGTCGGGTAAGGATTATAGTCTGCCTGCATACTCCATACAAGCACTCCTATATACAAGTAGTTATACAGAAATAATGTCGTGTCTTTCCATTGCTGTTGCCTGTAAGGGAAAGTATGAATAAATAGCTATATATATATACTATATAGATATACTTGTATAATCATGTACGAAACGGGACAGTCTCGCTATGTATCGTAAATGCGATGCACACTTTGTCGCCATTCGCACGCACAAATGAAAAGGATGCGCACTGTGATCCTGAAATGAAACAAAATGGAAATCTGTACATTTTCAAGCAATCATTTCCTAATTTAAATAATCGCTTTCTAACATTTCCTTAAAAAATATTGTAAACAAAACTTCGCCCAATATTCAAAACCAATTTCTCTATTAATTTGTAAAGCTTGCCCTTCCACTATACTAGTATTTCTGGAGCTATAGTACACTTTATCAGACAAATGGGGGTTATTTCAAACGCTTCTGCAAGCTATGGAAGAAAATTTGCTAACAGTTGTAGGAAGAGCACTTACAGAATGAAAAATTCTAATACAATTATGCTAAAAGAAGAGTTTCCAATGGCAATGGCTGTAGAAATACTTCAAAAATTGACACATGCGATAAATGTGCTTTCAAGATTGCCTTTCTAATCAGCGCTCGAATTTGAAAATATCAAATTTTAAACAAAAACGAAGATATTCGTTCTTTGCAAACAAATTCGTCTCACTTTTCAGACAAGATACTTGAAACTTTATGTAACTAGATCGGGGAAGTAAGCATTAAACGCTGCTCGTTTGAACTAGTTATACAAAGTACCCAAAAGGGTGAACTAGTTTATTGCGAATGTATGGAACACACAGAAGGGGGCGTGACACATTTCACATATGTTCTTGATCAGTCTAACAAGACGAGTCAATATGTTTGTCTGTTCGACTGTATGATCGCAAGGATCTCAGGAAGTAAAAGAGCTGGAATAACGAAACTTGGTATTCAGCTTCTCCTAAGCTCTAGACAGATGAAGTTTGTATTATTTTTTTGTTTTAAAACCTTTTACGCAGTGCCTTCTTGTAATATATTTGAGGTTATGGAACTGTGAAGCATTTTATTCCAGTACCCCAACCACTGTGCAATGACTGGACCTTTCACATAGAATTATGCTTGCAGGAGAGCAGCATTTACATGAGTGCCATAGAGCACATTAAGTATTTATGTGCGTGATTGTCTGCATACACCAACACACACACACACACACACACACATACACACACACACATGCAAATACACACACACAAATATTTGTGGGTGTAGTTAAGAGCTTAAGAAAGTTTTAGGCACAATTTATGCAAGCAACAAGATACAAGACGCCTAAATAAGGTAAAACCAAGAGCTCTGCTGTCGAATGACTAACAACCACTGAAGGTGGTT